TACCTCTGGTGCAAATTACTGACCTCTGTCATCATTTTAAGTGGGGGAACTTGCACAATCGGTGGCTGACTAAATACTTTTTTGCCCCACTGTATATTATACAGCCTGTGCATGTCTGTGTCAGCCAAGTTGAGCAAGCAGCTTTCAACTCCCCCACACTGGGGTTCAATATTTTTGTAACATAACAAATATAACATGTCAAGAGCCCACTCATTTACACTGCCAGTAGTTTCTGTTCATATTAATTCCGTTTCAGAGGTTTCATCCTCTGATTGTATTCATAACATGTTGAGCCTCCACTAAAACAGAGACCGCTGATGAATTTTATTTCTTTTGAGCATTCCAAAGGAGGGATGTTAACAAAGATGTTTGAAAAGAAGAACACTAGTTCAGAGCTTGTACCTGTACAGAGCACTGAGAGATTTCCACATATCTAATAATGTAGCATTAAACTCCAGCTCCTGCTGCATTTTTGGACCTGTGTTTACTGGAAGTAGAACCACTAACTTGTGCTTCTGCTCAACTCTGCAGGCAAGAGCAATTTTTGGATATGAAATGCTAAGAGGCACGAAGGTGTAGCACATGGGATTAATGCTTAAAAAAAAAAAAGGATTTAAAAAACATGTGTCAACAATAAAAATGTTTTTTGAGTGAACAAAACATTTTTTTCCAGAAGCAACGATTAGAGTAAAACATCTTAATTTGTTGCGGGAAGTCAACATTTGAAACGTGAAAAAATAAAAAACAAACCCATTTGAAACGTGATTTTCATTTCAAGTTGAAAGCACAGCCAGGAGGTAATGCTAATGAGGTGGTTTATTTATTTATTTTTTAGCATTGCTGAGCTTGGTTAGCAGTTACTTCTCGCAAGAAATTCATTTATCAAACATTGAATATCGACCCCAGATCTGATCAAAACACAAACGGCCTCGTTCACTTCAAGAAACGCCCCATATTCACAGCACGCACATTCATGCTGAATCCAATTTCCAGCAAATAGTTGCAGGCTCAAACTTCCATGACCTTGGCTTTCTAAACACACACTCGCTCCACTGACTTCCTGCGTGTCTACGTTCGCGCATATGTAGGAAGGGATGGATGTTTCCCTACTTTAGAAACATCCGTTGTATTAAAGCACCTCATTTTAATACAAAAAGGATGGTTTTAATTGCAGCTTGTTTGTATTTTTGCAATCCCAGCATCCAGATGCTACTCCATGCTCCCTCCCCTCTCCCTAAGCCATGCCTCTCATCACACTCTAATCCCATCCACTAATTAACCTGATAGAGATGCGCCTCATCAAGCTAATGGGGCTAAGACATGTGTGGTGTGTTTGCGTAAGAGAGACAGAACAGACTTTAGAGTGAGAGTGGAATGACATGAGGACACATTTTAACAGAGCTGAAGGGAATTGCCAGGATTTTGTCATCCCTAATACGACCAGAGGAAGGCTAAATGTGGACAGTTGTGTAGAACTGTGAGGGTCGTGTTTTGTTTTTCCTACAATAGGTGCTGGCATCCAAGCGTTTTAGGATAATAAAACGTGGCTCACGTGGCTCAAGAGTTGGGAGTTCGCCTTGTAATCGGAAGGTTGCCGGTTCGAGCCCCGGCTCGGACAGTCTCGGTTGTTGTGTCCTTGGGCAAGACACTTCACCTGTTGCCTACTGGTGGTGGTCAGAGGGCCCGGTGGCGCCAGTGTCCGGCAGCCTCGCCTCTGTCAGTGCGCCCCAGGGTGGCTGTGGCTACAATGTAGCTTGCTATCGCCAGTGTGTGAATGTGTGTGTGACTGGATATGTAAAGCGCTTTGGGGTCCTTAGGGACTAGTAAGGCGCTATATAAATACAGGCCATTTACCATTTACCAATAAAGTAGTGGATGTATCTTGATGGCTTTTTTTAATTAATTAATTTTTTTTAGCTCTTCAATTTTACATTAAGTGTTACATTAAAAAAAAGTACTAATGCAGTGTCTCTGAGAGTTTAACCATGTTTTTTTTAATCTGTAGTTTGCAGTCATATAGTGATTGTGTATATTCAGCGTGGTTGCTGCTTCCTTGAGAAATGCTCATTCAAACTATGAGTGACAGAAGTCATTAATCACAAGAAAGAAAATTAAAGACAAACACAGCTGGGCGAGTATATACTATAGTTATCTTGGGATTACCATTTTGAGTTTTAGAGTGAAACAACTACAGATGTGCAGAAATGTTGCTGTGATTTGTTTGTATAAGAAGCAGCTGGTGATGGTGTATAATGGTGATACTATTGAGAGGCTTCTGCTAGAATCTTCTGCTCCTGCTCGCTTCAAATACTGAAAGTTTTGATCCCCTAAAGTGTCTTATGGTGCTGTAGTATGTCTAAAACTTAGAAATCTATTTCAATGCAGTTTAGAAAAAAAACTGTGATTAAAATCATAATACTGTGTTACACCGGATCAAAAAACTTTAAGTTGGATGTGCAAGCATGCTAATTTACAGTATAACTATAATGAAGCTCAGACCAAACTGTGGTCTATAAAAATATAATCTTTGTTTTCTTGTCAGGTTGTATACACATTAGTTTTAAATGCACTTTAATCACCTTAAATCGTATCACAAAGCTGGAATGTTAGCCGGACCATTTAAGTGAAGCAAGATGGCTGAAACTAACTAGACTTCTCTGCTGTGTATTTTACCCCCACAAGAGCCTTATGAGAAAACGGCA